TATTTAACATTTGTTTTTAAATTATGGTTCCAGGTAAGTAAACTGTTTACTAGGAATGTGCTGGCTTCCTCAAGGACTCAGGTGTAAAAGTCATTACGGCTGTGTTTAGAATCCTGGGACTGGAGCCTGCTACTACAATAACATTGTAACGATTCCGTTTTATTACGATTTAGTGAATCATCATTGTCTATAATGGTATTTCCAGCTCTTTAACTTTGTCTACAAGTAACGGGTAGAAAGAAGATAGATTTGAGTCTACATTCACACAGCTGTTTATTCACTGACAGTCGTTCATTATGACTTTACGAATTTATTCAGCGATGAATTGTGTGAGTCGTTTGATGAGATTTAATTAAGTCTGATTCATCTAATGACTTGACGATTAAATTTTTTCTTTGATGACTTGTTTCATCTCTTGGAGGATGACCGATCTAGCAGCTGGATAATGTTATGTTAGACTGATCAGCTCTATGTATGGTTGTACTCGGTGAGTGGAGGCTTTACTCCGTCCCTTCTGTAAGAGTGGGGAGAGTTCGTCTCATTTTTGGCTAAAAACTATGCACCACATAGAGTAAACTAACTCTGTACTACATGGTGTAAGCTAACTTTGTACTACATGGTGTAAACTAACTTTGTACTACATGGTGTAAGCTAACTTTGTACTACATGGTGTAAACTAACTTTGTACTACATGGTGTAAACTAACTTTGTACTACATGGTGTAAACTAACTTTGTACTACATGGTGTAAACTAACTTTGTACTACATGGTGTAAACTAACTTTGTACTACATTGTGTAAACTAACTCTGTACTACATGGTGTAAACTAACTTTGTACTACATGGTGTAAACTAACTTTGTACTACATGGTGTAAACTAACTTTGTACTACATGGTGTAAACTAACTCTGTACTACATGGTGTAAACTAACTTTGTACTACATGGTGTAAACTAACTTTGTACTACATGGTGTAAACTAACTTTGTACTGCATGGTGTAAACTAACTTTGTACTACATGGTGTAAACTAACTTTGTACTACATGGTGTAAACTAACTTTGTACTACATGGTGTAAACTAACTTTGTACTACATGGTGTAAACTAACTTTGTACTACATGGTGTAAACTAACTTTGTACTACATGGTGTAAACTAACTTTGTACTACATGGTGTAAACTAACTTTGTACTACATGGTGTAAACTAACTCTGTACTACATGGTGTAAACTAACTCTGTCCTACATGGTGTAAACTAACTCTGTCCTACATGGTGTAAACTAACTCTGTCCTACATGGTGTAAACTAACTTTGTACTACAGAGTTCTTATATCACTTGTTAAAGCAACTGCTCAAGAAGACATTTCTCACCTAGCTGGTAGTAATAAGTTACCACAAGTTATATACACTGATGGATCTAAACAAGAGTCTTCTGACAGGGCTGCATCTGCTCTTGTTGCCACCTCCAGCAGGAGTCTTCTGGCAGGGCTGCATCTGCTCTTGTTGCCACCTCCAGCAGGAGTCTTCTGGCAGGGCTGCATCTGCTCTTGTTGCCACCTCCAGCAGGAGACTTCTGGCAGGGCTGCATCTGTTCTTGTTGCCACCTTCAGCAGGAGACTTCTGGCAGGGCTGCATCTGCTCTTGTTGCCCACCCCGCAGCAGGAGACTTCTGGCAGGGCTGCATTGCTCTTGTTGCCAACCTCCAGCAGGAGTCTTCTGGCAGGGCTGCATCTGCTCTTGTTGCCACCTCCAGCAGGAGACTTCTGGCAGGGCTGCATCTGCTCTTGTTGCCACCTCCAGCAGGAGACTTTGGCAGGGCTGCATCTGTTCTGTTGCCACCTCCAGCAGGAGACTTCTGGCAGGGCTGCATCTGTTCTTGTTGCCACCTTCAGCAGGAGACTTCTGGCAGGGCTGCATCTGTTCTTGTTGCCACCTCCAGCAGGAGACTTCTGGCAGGGCTGCATCTGCTCTTGTTGCCACCTCCAGCAGGAGTCTTCTGGCAGGGCTGCATCTGCTCTTATTGCCACCTCCAGCAGGAGACTTCTGGCAGGGCTGCATCTGCTCTTGTTGCCACCTCCAGCAGGAGACTTCTGGCAGGGCTGCATCTGCTCTTGTTGCCACCTCCAGCAGGAGACTTCTGGCAGGGCTGCATCTGCTCTTGTTGCCACCTCCAGCAGGAGACTTCTGGCAGGGCTGCATCTGCTCTTGTTGCCACCTCCCTCGTTAAGAATGATAATAAATTTTTTGAGTTAGGCATAAGAATTAACAACTCGGCGTCTACACTGCAAACTGAATTGTTTGCAATCGTAATGGCGCTAAAGCTAACTTATGACACTGAGCTTGACTCTGTCATCATTACTGATTCTATGTCATCACTGATGACTCTCATACTCATGACTCATGATCATTGGAGAAGCCAGGTATAGATACTCAAAAATCCGGGAAAATGGAATGGATGTACAATTATATGGATCCCATCACTCACTGGATTACTCCTTCATGATAAAGTTGATATGTTAGCCAAGAAGAGTATCGAGAAGGAGAATGTAGAATATAACTTTGGTATATCTGTGTCTAGCATTAGGAATAATATTAGGAGAGAAGTAAATAATGAAAATGATTGTTATAGGAATGCAGTTAGAAGTCTGAGTAGATCTATAACCCACTATGATAACATGAACGTAGATAAGTATGTTTATGGAGCAACTTGCAATGTGAATAGACTGACTGATGTTGTAGTAACCAGACTTACGCTTGTTACAAGTACTTCTGGCAGTTTGACAGACACACAGATGATGATCAAACTAAATGCAAATTATGTGGCCAATCCTACGGTCACTATCTTGAACACTATGTGCTTAATTATCCACTTATTGAGGAATACAGAGACAGACAGTATAATAACCTATGTGACATATCAATATATTTTGTTAACTAAAATAAGATACCAGATATACTAAGCAAATTTCCTAAATTTGCTTGTAACAGATAAGTGAACTATAGATATGTACATATAAATCCAAATGTATTCCTGTTAACCCTTTTGGGACCTAGTTCCTGGGCCTTTTGCGTATCCATATACTCTTGCACTACCGTCCACAGGATGGATATGGGATGCACAATAAACTAGCCACTTCGGTGGCAAAGTCTAAAAAAAAAATCTAATCTCTCTCTCCTACATACTCTAACCTGAGCCTCACTATCCTCATAAAAACCCATGAAGGGTTTTTATGAGGATATTCCTAAAAATAAGTTATACTGACTTATCTCCTTTCTGGTGAGTGTACGTCTTTATCATTCTGGTGAGTGTACGTCTTTATCATTCTGGTGAGTGTACGTCTTTTATCATTCTTGGGAGGTATCTTATCATTCTGTGAGGTACGCTTTATCATCCTGGTGAGTGTACGCTTTATCATTCTGGTGAGTGTACGTCTTTATCAATCTGGTGAGTGTACGTCTTTATCATTCTGGTGAGTGTACGTCTTTATCATTCTGGTGAGTGTACGTTTATCATTCTGGTGAGTGTCGTCTTATCATCCTGGTGGTGTACGTCTTATCATCCTGGTGAGTGTACGTCTTTATCATTCTGGTGAGTGTACGTCTTTACATTCTGGTGAGTGTACGTCTTTATCACTGGGGAGTGTACGTCTTTATCATCCTGTGAGTGTACGTCTTTATCATTCTGGTGAGTGTACATCTTATCATTTTGGTGAGTGTACTCTTTATCATTCTGGTGAGTGTACCGTCATTTATCATTCTGGTGAGTGTACGTCTTTATCATTCTGGTGAGTGTACGTCTTATTATTCTGTGAGTGTACGTCTTATCATTCTGGTGAGTGTACGTCTTTATCATTCTGGTGAGTGTACGTCTTTATCATTCTGGTGAGTGTACGTCTTTATCATTCTGGTGAGTGTACGTCTTTATCATTCTGGTGAGTGTACGTCTTTATCATTCTGGTGAGTGTACGTCTTTATCATTCTGGTGAGTGTACGTCTTTATCATTCTGGTGAGTGTACGTCTTTATCATTCTGGTGAGTGTACGTCTTTATCATTCTGGTGAGTGTACGTCTTTATCATTCTGGTGAGTGTACGTCTTTATCATTCTGGTGAGTGTACGTCTTTATCATTCTGGTTGAGTGTACGTCTTTATCATTCTGGTGAGTGTACGTCTTTATCATTCTGGTGAGTGTACGTCTTTATCATTCTGGTGAGTGTACTGTCTCTATCCTCCCGAATGGGGTCTTTGATACGAGTATTTTGACCTATTTTTGCCCCTATCCTTGAGTGGAAGTGGATTGCCTGACCCCGACGGGTTTAGCGCTTCTCCCCTCCACGAAATTAATCAGCCACCTCGCTGCCAGACGTATGCACGCTATTTATATTTTAATTGATATGACCGTGGTAAAAATATACTTTTTATTATGGGTTTTAATAAAGTAACGAACTTAAATTGGCCATAATTAACATAACTCGAGTGAAAGGGAAAAAAATAAGATTGGAAAATATTGAGAAGTGCTTTGACTTTCATATTTCATTAAGGATGTTGAAGGCTCGATCCTCCGACCAGTAGTCATGGCCCGGCATGTGAGAGGTTAAGCCACTGTACAGGTGGGAAAGCCTGGAAGCGTTAAAGGGGTAAACGCTGAGAACTACGTCAAGAAATTGACGAACTATATTGTCAGGTAAAGTGGCCCTCGATAAGTCTGTAAAACATTAAGAATCGCACCTGTTGCAGCCCCTCCGAGTATCGATCCTGGTTATTAATGGTTGCCGGGGCACCTGGTGCCAACACCATCACAATAATACCAATATTTATTACTTACTAACAGGTAGAAAGCCGTAGAAAACATCGAATTTACAAGTTGGGTAATTTGTACATGTGTCCGAGGTGGGGAGGGGGTTATAAAGTGGTATATTGTGAGGTTCTAGAGGTAAGTACTGGAGGTTCAGGTAGCGGTACAACATCAGTACTGAGAGAGCAGTGAGGTTCAACACTCCACAATACAAGTGTGTAATGGTTTACCTTCCCTCCTGCCTCACCTTAACATTACCGAGGTATTCCAGCAAAGAGTACCGCAGTAAGAGCCGGTGATGTTGGTTTATCTTAGTGATATCAAGTTATATTATAGGGAAATACTTCGTCAGAGTGTATTTTACGGTGGTTATTATAGAGGCAAAGCGATACCTGGAGATGACTGATGATTTTTTCGACGATGTTTGTGAGAAAATTGAGGGTTTCAAGCCTTTTCTGGACAGCACCAGCTACCCTCACAAGACCATCTCCAAGGAGTATTCGGACATCGTGAACCAAAGCAAGAAACAGGAGCTGAAAGAGGAGGAGAAGACAGACAAACACTCAGAGAAGGAATCCCAATACTCAGATTCACTCCAGAATGATGCGGAAAGCGGAGAATCCAGCTGCACAAACGACGTCTCACAGCCTTCCACAGCCTCCCACACACAGCACTCCCACACCGACATGACTAAAGACGACACCGAAGACGAACAAGAGGCTTCAAACTCCCAAAATACGGACGAAAATACGGAAAGTGACGAATCTAGTAGACATTCTCTCTCTACCACAGTCTTACAATCAAAGAAAACGGATTCTGATCCCAGGGATGACTACTCAGACTCTGAGGAACTGCTGCAGCCCAGCAACAGTTTGGAAAAAGTGGAAAAACAGACATATTATCAGAGAAGCGAAGACAGTGCGAGCACCAGAAGCAACTCTGAGGAACACCAAGAAAGAATAAAGATGGAACTCATCAAGAAATGCGCACGAGAGAAGGAAAAGAGAGCTCAGGCAATTGCGACATGGGTACAGAGGAAGAGACGAGAACAGCGTCTCAGACGGAGGGAACAAGAGAAGGAAAGGAAGAAAAGAGCGAAGAGCGGGGAAAGAAGAAAAGGACGGGAAAGGGAAAAAGGAAGGGAAAGAAGAAGAAAAGAAGATATAAAGCAGGGGTAAAAACGGATTTGGAAAATGAAAGGAAGTTGAACAAGAACGGAGAACAAAAGGACAAAGGTAAGAGAATTATCAAGGGCGGTGTAGGAAAAACATGGAAATTAACAGAAAAATACAATATGCGGAATATCATAATATATATTTATTGATATAATATTATTATTTATAATTATAAATATATAAATATAAAATATATATATATATATAATATATATATTATATATATACAGTGGCCCCGGTTAACGATATTTTTCACTCCAAAAGTAGTTCAGGTGCCAGTACTGACGAATTGTTCCCATAAGGAATATTTTTGAAGTAGATTAGTCCATTTCAGACCCCAAACTACACGTAAAACGCACTTACATAAATACATTAATAATTGGTCGCATTCGAGTGATCGTTATGCGGGGTCACTGTATATATATATATATACGTGTCCCCCTTATTTTGAATAAAATATAAACAATAATAGTTATGAAAATTAAAATCTTATATTTCCATAAAATAAACGATACAATTCTTATAAAAAGAGGCGACATATTTTAGCGATTAAATAGAAAGCTCCGGGTTATGTACAGTATTTCAGGCAGCCTTGAAATTATAGCAGAAATGGTACAGTTGGTAGCGCTCTCACCTCACACACTAAGGGACAGGGGTCACTCCCCGGCACGGGTGAATATTGGTCATGTTTCCTTGATGCTCGTACCTACCTAGCAGTAAATAAGTACCCTGGGTGTTAGTCACCTTACACATGCTGCTCGTGTCCACCCTAGCAGTAAGTAGGTACCTGGGTGTTAACCACCTTACGCTTGCTGCCCATGCCCACCTAGCAGTAAGCAGGTACCCTGGGTGTTAATCACCTTATAAAATTTTGTAATCTACTGACCTTGTTATTTTCTCCATATTCATGTTTAACTTAGCACATTTTATTATGGTAAATAATGAATCTGCTCCTTCCTATCTGTATTGTTCCTCAAGGTCGTTAGGTACTTCCTTCCTGACATCGTAGACTTCTAGAAAATCCAGAATTGAGGACACATTTGACCTGTTACCTGACGATTCTTATCTATCCATCACCAAGAGTTTTAACCCTTTATTGTACAATAATAATAATAACAATCTTTATTCTACATGTTCGTAAACGAACATATAATAACTTAGTAAGCCTGGTCTCAGACCGGGCCTCGGGGGTGTTGACCCCCAAAATCCTCTCCAGGTATACTCCCTCTCTTATAGCATCATATCCTCGTTTTCAGGAGGAAACGGGAAGAAGAGGAAGCTGTGAAGAAGAGAGAGAAGAGGAGAGCAGACAGCAGAGAAGCGTACAGCAGGTGGTTGGTCTCACACCCACACCACAGCAGAGATGTCACTTCTCAGGCCCATACAGGAGACAGGACAGTGTTTTATTACGACCGTTCCAAACCCACACCGCCTGTGTTTGTTAACCCACAGCCATGGAGAAGACTTTAGTTGTACGTTTAATAAACCCAAAGTGCCTAAAAAACCCGAATTTATATATTAAACAGATACAGTGAATAAAATAATTCCAGTAGTAATGAATATGATAATGATTTTATCTGTGTATATTTAATAATAAAAATTTTAAATATTAATAATTTTTCATTCCTCTTTATTATTGCCCTTTTTCTTTACTGTATTTTAATTAAAAAATAAAAAAAATAGCACCAACACAATTATTACACCAACACTGCACCACCAGGAAGACAACAACCACACCAACACGACAGCACCACGGACACAACTACACCAACACTGCACCACCAGGAAGACAACAACCACACCAACACGACAGCACCACGGACACAACTACACCAACACTGCACCACCAGGAAGACAACAACCACACCAACACGACAGCACCACGGACACAACTACACCAACACTGGGACCACCAGGAAGACAACAACCACACCAACACGACGCACCACGGACACAACTAAAATCAACACTGCACCACCAGGAAGACAACAGCCACACCCACGACAGCACCACGGACAACTACCCCCAACACTGACCACCAGAAGAAACAACCCCCACACCAAAAGCACCACGGACACACTACACCAACACTCACCACCAAAGACAACAACCACACCCAACCACGACAGCACCAGGCACAATACACCAACCTGCACCACCAGGAAGAAACCCCACAAACACACAGCACCACGGACAAATACACCAACACTGCACCCCCAAAAGAAACAACCACACAACACGACAGACCACGGACACAATTTACACCAACACTGCACCCCCGGGAAAGACAAAAACCACACCAACACGACAGCACCACGGAACAACAACACCAAACCTGCACCACCAGAAGACAAAAAACCACACCAACGACAGCACCAGGGCCCAAACTACCCCCAAACACTGAAACCACCAGAAGACAACACCACACCAACACGACAGCACCACGGACACAACTACACCACACGCACCACCAGAAGACAAAAACCACCCCAAACACCCCCACCCCCATAACCCCCACATGATCCTTATTACGCAACGATCCATAGATAATTACTGCGGATGTGTCTCTTGAGGTAATTGTGGTGCCATCACCGTCGGGTTGCTCTATATAACCCCATTATATAAACCCCCAAATGGGTGTTATCACTGTATCAACAAATTTTGATTTACATATTAATATATTAATGTCTGTGATTTGTTACTATGAAGTTTTGGAAAAACCCATCCCCATTTTTTCCCCCTTTTTGACCAGAAGGGGGTTTGGGAAAACTTTTTTGCCCATCTAATGATTTTTGGCCCAAAATTTAAATCCAGAACTGGGGGTTTTATGTCCTGATCCATGATGAATAGAAAGGGATGTAACGACAAGCATAAGTATTTTGCTGTAACAATTTTTTAAGCACTTCCGTTGCATAGGTAATTTCTTCTTGGCTGCTTATTAATCTCTGAATGCTGGAATAGACCGGAATGAATGCGTGAACGTCTGTGATCAACTGACGACCTGGAGACTGTGGTAGGGCCCCGATGAGGTAATTGCAGCTGAGTTTGGTAGCCACAAACGGTAAGCGTACTTCACCTTATAAGCTTCAGGAATTATAGCCCAGAGGTTGTCGTTGGTGCGCTCTAAGAAGGATTCTGTACTCCACAGTTCCACCTGATACACATACGCAATACCGATAAAGATGACTGAGATTAAAACGAACGAGTACCTGAGGAACTTACTGCACCTGAAGCCGGCCCTATTACTAGCTCCTTCATATTCAGATTTATTTCTCTGCAAGTAGTACATTGAGATGATATTTTTGCACTAATGGTTTGCAGTACAAATAGAGCCTCTATTATGCCTAGGCATTATGGGCCAACTTAATTTAATGGCCTACTGACTAATTAACACTAAAGATATTTATGATAGTAGTACAGAAGTTCTATTAATTATAAGTGCAGCCTCTTACCGTACTGCTTCCAGTGTTATGGTCTCACACTCGTCAGCATAAAAAGCAGTCTGATGTGAGGCCACCTGACAGGTTTCCACCTCACTGAGCTTTCCGTAGCGCTGGACGGAACTATCCAGATCCATGAGGAGGTCCTGGTCGTCTTCCAGACCGGAAGTCTTACCACGTACACGTTTCTTACCCATCTTAAGATCACAAGAACATAAGAAAGAAGGAACACTGCAGCAGACCTACTGACTCATGAGAAGCAGGTCCATGTCCCCCTCCCCTTTTATTAGTTTCTTGAGCTACCGAAAGGAATCCACTACCTTGGAAATCGACGCTTCTTAAATCTGACAAGAACTGCTGATAACGGTCGATCTAGATAATACTTTGGGGCGGAACCTCGAGGTATAGTGAACATGTCTGTAGTGAACATGTTTGTAGTATAGTGAACATGCTTGTAGTATAATGAACTTGCATATAGTATAGTGTAAATATGTGTAATATAGTGTACAAGTGTGTGTCAGGACACACCATCTTTCGTATTAACTTGAGAAGAGGAAGGAAGGGGACTGATTCCCCACTACCCCCTCCCGCAGTAACACATCAAACAATGAAGATAACCATTTTATCGAGACTAACAGTGTTCAGGCTATTATTCTCTGTCTCTCTTACATTCTCCTTCCTTGACCTAGTGTCTCCCACCTCCCTCCCTAACCAAACATAAATTACATACACTTTCTCAAATATATTATATATATATATATATTTATATATATATTATATATATATATATATATATATATATATATTTATATATATTATATATATTCAATGATGTTATTGAGAATGGTTTTTTTTTTATTTAAAAATCGACACCATACCCAGCCCTTGCTGGGTATGGTGAGCTTGCAGCTCACAAGACTCTCATTCCCATTAGTCCCTTGTGGCGGGGATGTCAGACCAGAGAGGCCTAGCTTGTGGCTAGGCCTGGGGACAGTTGGTCCCAAAGATGAGGAGGTACTTGTGCCTCCTCCCATGGGAGACTTAGGTCTCAGACACTCCCAAGAGAGGGAGCCAAGGCCGGGCCACCACTTGGGAAAGGCCGGGGCCACCACTTGGGAAAGGCCCGGGCCACCACTTGGACAAGGCCCGGGCCACCACTTGGACAAGGCCCGGGCCACCACTTGGACAAGGCCCGGGCCACCACTTGGACAAGGCCCGGGTCGGGAGAATACCGGCGAATCTTTAATATTAAATAATTTTATTTAAAGATGTATATAGAAAATTAGTTATCGAAACCTGGTTATCGTAAACTGGTTATCGTAAACTGGTTATCGTAAACTGGTTATCGTAAACTGGTTATCGTAAACTGGTTATCGTAAACTGGTTATCGTAAACTGGTTATCGTAAACTGGTTATCGTGAACTGGTTATCGTAAACTGATTATCGTAAACTGGTTATCGTAAACTGTTTATCGTAAACTGGTTATCGTAAATGGTTATTCGTAAACTGGTTATCGTAAACTGTTTATCGTAAACTGGTTATCGTAAACTGGTTATCGTAAACTGTTATCGTAAACTGGTTATCGTAAACTGGTTATCGTAAACTGTTTATCGTAAACTGGTTATCGTAAACTGTTTATCGTAAACTGGTTATCGTAAACTGGTTATCGTAAACTGGTTATCGTAAACTGGTTATCGTAAACTGGTTGTCGTAAACTGGCTATCGTAAAATGGTTATCGTAAACTGGTTATCGTAAACTGGTTATCGTAAACTGGTTATCGTAAACTGGTTGTCGTAAACTGGCTATCGTAAACTGGTTATCGTAAACTGGTTATCGTAAACTGGTTATCGTAAACTGGTTATCGTAAACTGGTTATCGTAAACTGGTTATCGTAAACTGTTTATCGTAAACTGGTTATCGTAAACTGATTATCGTAAACTGGTTATCGTAAACTGGTTATCGTAAACTGGTTATCGTAAACTGGTTATCGTGAACTGGTTATCGTAAACTGTTTATCGTAAACTGTTTATCGTAAACTGGTTATCGTAAACTGGTTATCGTAAACTGGTTATCGTAAACTGGTTATCGTAAATGGTTATCGTAAACTGTTTATCGTAAACTGGTTTCGTTAAACTGATTATCGTAAACTGGTTATCGTAAACTGGTTATCGTAAACTGGTTATCGTAAACTGGTTATCGTAAACTGGTTATCGTAAACTAGTTACCGTAAACTTGCTATAGTAAACTGGTTATCGTAAACTGGTTATCGTAAACTGGTTATGGTAAACTAGCTATCGTCAGCTGGTCACCTTCAGGATCACAGCGGGCGGCTCACAATAAATATCATTATTGCCAACCCCATGGGGTGGCGGCGGGGTGAGTAACCCAGAAAGCCAAGCAGTGTGACTTACCTGGACTGTTGCAGGTCGCAACACTCATGTCAACACGGGTCGCAACACTCCAGGTCAACACAGGTGTTATGTGGCTTATATATAGGCCCGGCCCGGGCCTTTTCCAAGTGGTGGCCCGGCCTGGACTCCCTCTCTTGGGAGTGTCTGAGACCTAAGTCTCCCATGGGAGGAGGCACAAGTACCTCCTCATCTTTGGGACCAACTGTCCCCAGGCCTAGCCACAAGCTAGGCCTCTCTGGTCTGACATCCCCGCCCCAAGGCGAACAGGGGTAGCAGGTGTAAGGTGACTGACACTCAGGTACCTACTTACTGCTAGGTGGGCAGGGGTAGCAGGTGGAAGATGACTGACACTCAGGTACCTGCTTACTAGGTGGACAGGGGTAGCAGGTGGAAAGTGACTGACACTCAGGTACCTGCTTACTGCTAGACAATCAGGGGTAGGAGGTGGAAAGTGACTGACACTCAGGTACCTGCTTACTGCTAGGTGAACAGGGGTAGCAGGTGTAAAGTGACTGACACTCAGGTACCTACTTACTGCTAGGTGGGCAGGGGTAGCAGGTGTAAGGTGACTGACACTCAGGTACCTGTTTACTGCTAGGTGGGCAGGGGTAGCAGGTGGAAGATGACTGACACTCAGGTACCTGCTTACTAGGTGGACAGGGGTAGCAG